CTCTTCACTGTATTTATTAGCTAATAGAACCTTCTAGGATTTGATGTCCAACTTCTAAGCTTCATAATAGTGTATGGTGTTAGGTCACAACTTCAAATACTTAGGCGAATTTCGCTCCGGTATTGTAAATTTATATTTGTACGAGTCTTGCCACTTTGGGGGCTGCCACACGAATGGGCCGACGAGATATTTTTCTGTGAATAGCAGTTTTTTGTAGCTCAGTAGTATATGGCAAATTTTCGATTTTTGAATTAGTTGATTTTTAAAGTAGCTACAGCTCAATTTCTAGGAGCGCGTAACTAGTTTTTCGAGGTAGTGGCAGAGAGCTTTTGCTAGTTGCTCGCTGGTTTTTTACCTCATTTTGGAACGGTAAGAGATATCGACTTCCGGTTTTCGGATTCTACTAGATAAATGTGTGGACTACAATATTCACCCTATTTCGAATTTGGGGCAAATTGATATCCATGGATATATGCATTTTACCAAAGTTGCATTACTTCCGGAACACCCTCTATGTAAATCTACACAAATAGTTATCAATATGTAGTTTTGACCATGACCATATATGGTTATGGTCTTACGAAAATAGGAGCGACACCGTTAGCGTTATCGAATTCTATTATTTATTCATTTGCTGTATGTACTAAACATACATACAAACACGATGTGTAAGCAAGAATTGTCTGTCGCGTAGTGCGGATGTAAGTCACGCTAGCTTACATAATTTATTTATTCAATCCCTCACAGAGAAAGGATATTTTATTAACGAGCCCAAGCTACTTTATGGAGACCAATTGTCTGTCCGTATGTGTGTCTGCTCGTATGTACAGGGTGGTTTAAATGTAGGTTACAATGGACAATTTTTCAATTGGAAAAATTCGTAAATTTCCATTAGTTACGGATTTGGGGAAGATTGCTTGACAACTTTAGTAATGATTACATGAATTATGACAAATTGTCAAGCAATCTTGGGATTTGGGATTGAGATTTTCATTAATTTTTCCAAAACTTATGGGACTCTGATGACAAAATTCCTAAAATATTGAATTTCAGAGACACAATTTCGGTAACTAATTGAGATTTGCAAATTTTTCCTATTGAAAAATTTTCCATAGTAACCTAACATTTAAACCACCCTGTGATCTTTTAACCTTTCGTTTTCAAAAGAAAGATCACGACACTTAACGTTTAAGCACAGTATTATTACAAGTGATACCCATAGATATTTATCTCGAACATTATGGTTTGTTTTTTAGACGCTGTTATAAGCTATGGGTGTAAAAAAAGGAAACATTACTTTTTTACAAAATAAACCAGCAAGGCGAGCGCGATGTTTATTTTTTTGGATCGTTTATGTTGGGTCCGCCCCAACTAAATTTGGATAGATCGAATCTACTCTCCATTCGCACACAGTTGAACTTTTATAGAAATCGAGAATTCTGAGAAACTACGGCACTCTCAGTCCCAAATTCCCTCAAATCATGCTGAGAGGGGACCTTGAGACTGACAGTGCCGTACTTTCTCAGAATTCTCGATTTCTGTAAAAGTTCAACTGTGTGCGAATGGAGAGTATATAATTTGCGGTTAATTGGATTGGATCCGATCTGAACGTTTAAGGCGAATCGGGTTTGGATGGATTGGATTTGAAAGTTTGTGGATGGGTAGGATCGGAGTTGGATTGATTGGATGTCAAAAAATTGCGATCAATCTAACTCCTAAATCACCCCGATTTTGGTATCGTGATTTACGCAAATGCAGGAGGTTTAAAGTTTTAAGACCAAACGTCCATGTAAAAACTAACTCGCAGTAAGATGCAGTATCTACTTCCGCTACATTTTTATATCAGTTTGTTAGTGGCTTATTTTATTTAGAGTTTTCTTAAAATCTAAGTAATGATTGTAGGGCAGATCGATGTATTGATTAACCTGGAATATTTTAAACTTTTGTCTAACAATATATAAAATATCGTAGCAATAACAGTTGAGCGTCTCACTACGCAATTATTGAGCAGAAAAGTAAATACAAATTTCAGAAAATGCTTAAAACACCATTAATTTTAATCTTCTTATCTCATCTGGATTCTATATTCTGCACTTCAGAATTTAATTTAAATACCACAATCCTCCTGCAACACTTGGATGAGGACTGTCACCTTATTCTGATGCACTACAGCCTTCACGTGGAGCACTTTTCTCCACAAATTGAAGCCAAGAACGGGTACTACATCGTTCATCCCCCTCGATTGAATACATCGTCAAGTCGACGTACAGCCTTCAAGTACCCATTAGTCAAATATGGTAAAGGATTTCTAAGCCAACCCCAAAAGTCTCGGATCCTATGTATCATCGCAATCGTCATCACACGAAGGACAGACTTTGATTTGGATTCAACCCGAAAAAGGCATCATCTTAGGTTTCTTAGCGACTTTCAAATTGGCACCTTGGACCACTTCATATGTGGGGGAAATGTTTCATCATGGTGGTCAGCTGATAAATCCAGTAGTAGGATTAACCTCGGAAACATTCTATTTATCCGAATACAAATAGATTTTAATTTCTTGCTCGACACATATATTCCAGAAAGCAATAGTCCATTTCAATATTGTATCATTCTAAGTACATTTAAAAGTAAAACACAGCAGGAGAAATATGAATTGGTGTGGCTTACAATTTGTATAGAGTGTGAGCGAAGCAGGGTGTTACGGGTACGTGAAGAAAATACAATTCTACTTTTACGCAGTCATCTCAATTTCGTTCAACTACTCGTTGAGCCAACCGACTTAGCTCTTTATTCCGATAGAAAGGGTTACTTTAATCTTGACGGTTTTTATGGGAAAAAAGAATCATGCTTGAATTATGCCAAGGGTCCATTTCATTTGATAAGGGAAAAGAAAATGACAGGTAGAGCCACATTGTTCTTTAGTTTAATGTGCCTCGGGAATTTTACATACGGAGAGGCCGTCATCTATGACAGCAAAGGTCTGGGAAGACGAAATCGAGGTAATGGGAAAAAGACGTGGACAGATTATATATTCCTTGATGGATCTCGTAAGGGCCTTAATTATCCAAAATTATTCATTGCCACACTTACTCAGGGATATGCATTCATGACGTGCTATTCTCGAAACGAGTTTTCATTTGCAATCTTACTGAAATCATTCCAGCCCAAGGTATGGATCGTCTTCGTACTAATATTTGGCACGGTTGTATTGCTTATCGCTACAATTTTGAGGTTTAATCTTGGTTGGAGTTATTTGAGTGCAGCTTTATTTTCCCCGTTTCTCATGGTTTCAACCGTTTTTGAGAAACCGACCAATTTGCCACGTCAGCTAGTGGGAAATCTGAAATTCCGTGTTTTATTTGGGGTCTGGATGTTGCTACTAATTGTATTAACAAATAGTTATGTAGGAGTCAATATCAAATCAATTTCTGCCCCTTTGGAGGACAAATCGGTTACGCGGTTTGAACAATTATCTATGGCAGGGTGTACCTGGAATGATATTAAATGTTACGTAGCCAGATTTAATAACACATCCAATTATTATAATAACATTGAAGACCATAACGGGGTATTAATATCGTACAGAACTAAGGAGCTGGACCCAACTTTTCCAACCTTTATATTTATGAGAAACGTTTCTATGGATGTGAGCGTAATGTTGGGCAGAATTAAGAATTCCAGTATCCGTAGCTTTGATGAGGATAATGATTTTATTCTATTTCCATATTCAATTGGGTATGGTACATCCATCGACAGCTTAGTTAGCAATGACTTCTATGAGATAATTAAGAAAAATAATTTACAGACAATCACGGTTGCATTAAGCCAGATCAATATTTATGGAAAGATTAATGAGACAATGAGGAAGAAAATATCTCTTATAGACTTGTTGGATCCTTTACATATTCCACATTACACCATTGCGGATCTATTTCCAGGGAAACAAGTTATTCGGGGTGCAATTGACATAGAGTACGACCTAGTGCAATGTGGGAGGACCGTATTGATTAGCAAGGATCAAGATATTCTATGGGAAATGAAATATTTTGAGAAATATTATCCATGGATCAAATTCTTTAAGTCGAATGAATCAATTCTTAGAGATGATTCAGGATGGAGTATTGGATTACAATATAAATCGAGCATACATGAAATATTTCGTAAGCTAAATGATGCCGGGATTGTAACATTATTAGAGATGTGGACACATGGGGTGACTCAAAAGAGAGAAAATATCACACGAATGGTTCATAATATGATACAAAAGAGAGAAAAGATAGGTCCCGTTAATAAGATTGCTTTAGATGGTAGTCTTCAGACCATATTTTGGTGTTATGCAGTACTAATTTTTGGGGCGATGTTGGAATGGTCAATTATTGAGGTTAAAGGGTATAAAATGGCTTGGATTAGATTAACTAGCATACTTAGATGGATTAGATTAACTATCGTGCTTGGTTGGATTAGATTAACTATCACGATTAGATGGATTAGATTAACTACTATCCTTAGATTGATTAGATTAACTATCATGCTGAAGCGGATTAGATTAACCATCCTGCTTAGATGGATTAGGAGTAAGTGGGCCAGGTTGAAAGTATGGCTGGTTCTCAAAGTACAGGGTGCATCGAAAGTTAAACCACGTGGGAGGCGTGGCGTATCTAAAGCTGTAGTACATAGAAAGTTTTATGTAAAAAATCCATCTTTAAATTGATGAACTTTATGGATACCTGATGAAACGTTTTGTTTTACGTACTTGTGGTACCATACAACGCTTTCAAAATTCATGATCAGCTCCTCCCACTAACACTATTATGTAAGTAGCGTTTACTTTTAGAACGCGATATTTGTTGTTGTGCAATTGTTCATAATTTCATACCCGAAAATCCGTAGTGACGTTAATAATTTTGTTTACAACAAATAATTCATTATTCTAGTCAATTTTATTCTATAAAATCCGAAAAATTGTAGCTGTGATATTGCAATTAAAGTTCTAGAAGGGTTGGTGGTAAATCGTCGTCGGACATTTTGTAGAGGACAAGTCGAAGGAAGAGCAACTCGTTGTTGGACAAGTAAATGTGGAGGACAAGTCGAAGAAGAATATTAGGTCGAAAAAATAGACAATTTATTGCCTCTTTCCTTTAAAATTTACAATCCAATTAATTGTTTTACAACATTCGTAAAAATTAGGTTTTTTGTCTTTTTGAAAATGTCCCTGCGTTAGTTCGTTTACGCTTTAAGCATGGGACATGGGTATATGTTGGATCAAAGGAACTTGAACAGGGAATAACTTGCGTAAGTTCTTCTTCAACGCTTGAATTATCAACAGCATCGTTATTGCTTTTATCGCCACGCCTAACTGTACCTAACCCACTTAGCATATTAAATGCAACACCCTTAACAAAGTCTTTCAATTCAAGGGTCGCATAATTATCAACAAGATTCAAAAGTCGCCGATTTAGTTGAATTTGTTTGTACCGCTTGGCCGCGGGAGCCTTGCCTGAAATTCTCGAAGCCAGCATTACCACGGTTGAGTGTTGCTCACTTTGCAAATGCTTAATTATTCGATAAAGAGGAATATGGGAACTTTCACACAAAACTCCGAACCGTCTGTTCCAGGCTTCCAGCGAATTATTTGTTCGAGCTACATTGTTTTTAACCCTATCATGGACACTCCAAAATTCTCTTTTGTACAGAGACGAAACATATGCCGAACCTATGTAAGTACTGTGAACATATGCGAAAAAAACACCTAAATCTTTGTTAAGATCTTCATCGAACGCGCTTTCCGACTTAATTTCTACAAATGCTCTATTTACATCACATGGTAAAACGAACGCCAATGCAAAAATTTTCTTCATTTGTAGAGCAAAAGAGTTGTCATTTTCATACGCTCTCTTCATGTGGGGCGTGAAATGTCGATAGAGTGATTGAGTGTAGTGAAAGTGGCATCCTTGAAGAATTGCTGTTGGAAATACGTCTGCCACTGCACGCATCTCAGATTGCTCAAAGTCCATGAGCACAACGTCCGGAGATAATGGCAATCCACGTCGCTCTGAAATCTTCTCTAGGACATATTTGTAACTTTCAGTTTTTTTATTCGGAAGGAGAGCGTACACTAGAGGAATTGTCCATCCGTCCCGGGTCATTGCATGTATGGTGAACAACTGTGTATAAAGTTCAGTGACGACATCGAAAGTCCCATCAATTCCACAAACATTACATAAGGCGAGTTCCTGTAGGAATATAAAGTTCCTGTATAAATACGTAAAATCGGTGCGTTTTATAATTTACCTTACATTTAAGTTTTCGTCCGTTGTAAATATTAAAATTCTTCCTGCAATATTTTTTTCATAGTCCGCATCGTTAAAGATAAATTTGTTCCCCTGAACGTCAATCATTTGATCAGGTGTCAAACATATATCCTCGCGACTTTTTGGCTCCTTTGTTCCAAGTGGCTGTCTCCATCGCCGTATGCTTCTACTAATAGAAGCGTCGTACGGTAAAGCCTGACATGCTTCTACGGAAAACTCGGCCTTTACAATAGCCAAAACTTTCGACGGTGGTGTGAATGGGTTTGATATGGCAAACACTTTGACTCGCTCTCTCAGTGTTTCAATCTCAGCGCTAAATTTTGAGTAAAATTGGGTTGTAAATATTACAAATTGTTGTTTAAGCAACTCTCAACTTACTCTATTGAAGAGGACAGACAGGTATGGGTTTGACCCTCAGCAATGCTTTGACCTTGTTTGATAATTCTGCCTCTACAACTTCTGTTGGCGCATATCCAGTACTCGCGGCCACTTGGCGCAGTTTTCTCAAGGGTATGCCAATTGCTTTTATATTTTAGTTTTTCTTTATTTCTCTGTGTTTTCCCAATCGTGAATAATGGAGTTTCGCTCATTGTGGAATATTTAACTTAAGTAAAATGAAGAGAATCTACAAACTCAGCTGCTAGTTAAACGGTGAATGAACTAAACAGCTTGTAAATCTGGAATCTGTAAGCCTTACTATACAGTGTAGTGTAAGCTAAGCCCTAAAAACTGGATTCGACGACAATGTCCTCCTACGAGATTTTTCGCTCCCACGAGTTACCCTACTACGACTTGCCCAACCACCACTCTACCCGCCTACAAGTTACCCAACGACGATTTACCCGTAACCCTTCTAGAATATGTAAATACATGCACAGAATACTATATTTTTTAATACTCCACTGTTTCATTCCTCATTTCATTATCGCTGCAAACGCAATCATCTATTTAAATAGCGTAAATATTCCGCGTAGGAAAATTTTACCAAAAAGGAGTCGAAAACTAAAATTCCCGAACCGTGCATAAAACAAACTCATTTATTATGTAGCGCAAGCTACTTTATGCGATGACTTAGTTAGTCTGTCTGTCTGTCATTCAACGCGATAACGGGAGAACAGATCGAGATAATCGAAATCGGTTTGCGGCATCAGACGTATGACCCTAGGGGGAGGATCCCCTAATCTTTTGGGGCCAGCCGAACCACACCCCCGACCGCCAGGGGGTGTGGTTGGGGTAAAATGAGATTTTTACAAAGATTGAATCTATGGATGAAGTAGAGTTAAATTAAGTGTTCCCGAGTTGTGCCACACCCCCTCGCACCCAGGGGGCGTGGCTGGGGCAAAATGAGATTTTTATAAAAATTGAATCTAACATGTAGGACATTTAAACAGTAAGATTGATTAATTAATTAAGATCGATAAAACAGTAAAACATGTAAAATGCACGATTTTTCAGAGTGGCTACGTATAAATGAGGAAATTTAAATTATTTTATTATTTTTAAATTATTCAGATTCGGCAATCTATATTTTCTTTATTTTGTATCGCATTCTCAGCATTATAAATAAACTGAGGCCACGCAGGGTACACAAGTAGCGCAATAATGCTGAGAATGAGATACAAAATAAAGAAAATACAGATTGCCGAATCTGCATAATTTAAAAATAATAAAATAATTTAAAAATTTCCTCATTAACATGTAGCCAGTCTGAAAAATCGTGCATCTTACATGTTTTACAGTTTTATCAATCTTAATTAATCAATCTTAATTAATAAATTAATCAATCTTAGTGTTTTACATATCCTACATGTTAGATTCAATTCTTATAAAAATCTCATTTTGCCGCAAGTATACCTCCTGACGGCCGGGGGGTGTGCCACAACTCGGAGACACTTAACTTAACTCTATTTCATACATAGATTCAATTTTTTTAGAAATCTCATTTTGCCCCGACCACACCCCCTGGCGCCCCAGGGTGTGTGGTCCGAGTTGTGCCACGCCCCCTCCCACCCAGGGGGTGTGGTCAGGGCAAAATGAGATTTTTTCAAAAATTGAATCTATAGATGACATAGAGTGAAATTGAGTGTCCTCAAGATGTCGTGGGAGTGGTTGGGGTGAAATAGTCTGAAGCTACTTCCTTATGTCCGTTTACGACGGTTTATTTTAATTCTTGTACGTTTGGAAATTTTGATGCATAAGTTGTACCACAATTGATGTCATAATACTTATTGATGGCAAAATTTATGAAACAAAATATGAGTGCAAAGCTCGCCCTGATTATTTAAATTTAAATTATCAGCATAGAAAGCTGCGTCGTCATTTATTCCATTCATACCGTACAATTGTATCATCATCACTGGCCTCGGAAGTTGTGGGCACATTAACATTGCAGGATAGGGGATCCAGGGGTTTAAATATGATGGGCAAACCACGCGGATACCGAGTAATCATGGGTTTGACATTGTCCCTTGGTCCCCACGCTTCCGCGGCCAGTGATCATCATGCCATAATAATTACGAAGATTTACACCTTTCATTGTCGATTGCCACTGCGGAGGTTTAAGTGAATTGACGAGCACGTTAGTGACGACAATATTTTATTAAATTCTCTTATCTATCACGAGGATCTATACATAGTTTGTATATGTATGAAGGCAGCAGTGTTGATCAGGCCACCAATAAATATGCATACATATTTACACTCTAAGAAATTTTGTTACCGGCCGGTGACAATTTACGATTCTTCCGGAATGGTGAAAACGTGGAGCACTGATAAGATTCTTCGTGCGGCAGTTAAAATTGAAATAGTAATTACATATTTGTCGCTTGCATTTTTATCGGTTACATATTTGTAGGGTTGCATATAGATATCTCGGTTGCATCTGTAAATGTAGATTGCATATTTGTCGTATCACCTTTGGTAACCGTATGAAAATAACCCACCACCAGCCGATGGTACTCAATTACCATATAAGGAAGTATAGCACCACCAACACGGCAAAAACCCCGCTCTCTCGGGTCACGCCTGTAAATATATCACCGGATTTCTTAGAGTGCACTAGAGTAATCAATATATGTAGAACACAGTCCAGTGATAAAGGTAGACACGAAATTTTATTGCCCAATACGGTGACCAGTTCTTGTTTTCAACCAGATCTGGTCAACTGATATTTGCATACTAAAACTCGAATGAATGACGATCATAAATGTCACACATACATGCATACATTCCATACTTCCAAATACAGATAACCAGGTATCTGTTTACCTGTTTTAATTTGTTTTGCAAACAAAAGGCACACTGTCCAAGTCTGAAGCAAGTTAAATTCTAGTACATTTAAATTCCCCAGTTACAGGGTAGCTGTCTGGGGCTGGATCTTATTACCATACTCGCTTGCAAGGTCGGATGTGTACACAGTGTGGTCATAAGTTTATTGAATTTCGACATTTTAAACTTTCACATGGGATGATTTATCAATTTCCATAATATGTATGATATGTACAGGGTGGTTTAAATATCTCGCTACAATGAAAAATTTTTGAGTGGGAAAACTTAGCAAATTTTGCAGATTAGTTACCAAAATTTGATCTCTGACATTAACACTTGAAGATTTCGTTATCATTTGGATAACAATTTATATAAGTCTTAAATCCAAATCTCGTAATTAATGGAGATTTAGAGGATTTTCCCTTTGCAAAATTTTCCATTGTTGTGAGAGTAAGATAAAGGGTGTTAATAAAGTCCGATCCCATGAATTTTTTGGAGCGCGGTTGTTACAAATTCAGCTGGAACTTTTGAACCAGTGAAGTTATTTATTTCAAATTTTTACCATGGGAGGAACAACTAAACGTGTAAGTCATGAGCATCTTAGAGTTAAGATACAAACATTGCATCAGCAGGGGTTTAAACCTGCAGAAATTGTGCAAAAATTGGGCTGCAGCCGCAGAACTGTTTGGAAATGGAAGAACAAAAATTTTGTCCACGACAAAAAGCGACCCGGGCGACCCAGAAAGGTGTCACCTACCACAAAGAGAATGATTAAAAACAGACTTTACAAGAAAACCGGTAGTTCATTACGTAATTGTGCAAGGGAGTTAAATGACTCAAAACGCTATAAAGAGAAGAAGAAGCAAATTAACTATGTGACCGTGCAAAAATTTGTGAAATCTACGAGGTGGGGTCACACAGCTTACAAACTAACCAAAAAACCTCTCATGTCACAAAAAAATATCGATGACCGTCTGAAATTTGGAGAACTCCTTCAGAAAAGTGGCCATTTGAGTGAAAAAAGACTTGGTGAAGAATTGCGCAGTCACATCCTTTGGACTGACGAATCTATTATTGAGCTATATCCAAAATTGAACCAACAAAATGTTCGTTACAGGACAGAAAACAAATCGGATGTACCATCAAGAGTAGTCCCAAAATTCGGGCTTAAAGTTATGGTAGCGGGTGGATTTTGTGCACGTGGCGTGACCCCTCTACATATCATACCAAAAGGCCAAACAGTCAATGCAAAGTATTATATGGAAAAAATATTACCTATCTATTTCGATAGCATGGGGAACAAGGAAATATTTCCGAATGAAAGAAAAATAGTTTTCATGCAGGATGGTGCTACAGCCCATACAGCAAAAGCGAGTTTGAGTCTCATCAAGACGCAAGTTTCAACGGTCTGGAGCAAGGGGGTGTGGCCCGGAAACAGCCCAGATTTGAATCCCCTGGAGAACCTGTGGTCCATACTTAAGGAAAATGTATACAAAGAACCACAACCCCGGACGAGGGAAGAGCTAGTAAAAAAAGTTCAAGATGTATGGAATTCGATTCCCACAGACACATTGGAAAAATTAGCACAGAGCCTTAAACAAAGAGTTGAGGGCATGGTTAAAGTAAATGGTAACAAGACCAAATACTAAGGTAAATATGTCGAACATTTTTTGTAAGTATGACGGGTAGTTTTTTTTATACTAGCCTTCACTTTTTTATAGGAAAAATGGGATCGGACTTTATTAACACCCTTTACATCTTGACATTTTTATTTCACGTACAGATCAAGGTGCATGAAGAGAAACCAAGGACATAAAAAAGTTTACGTAAATGGGAACGGGGAACGTCCATAAATATACTATGTCATCAAAAAACGCAGTTTTTTTAGAGTACCCACTAACCTCTTCCCCTTCATACCCATATTAAGTTTAACACGAGTAAGATTGGCGAACCAAAAACACCCAGGCACCTGTTTGATGACGTAATAAATGGAGATTCCCATATGGAAATAGCCCGTGCATATCCAAAAATTCACTAATTAAGTAATTTATGTATCCGTATGAAATTTGAAATGAAATAACGCAAATGTGAAAACTTATGAGCACACTTTGTACATACGTGTGTACATATTCCATGTCACATTATTTTTAATTGTCCTTCTTTACTTATCCAAGATTTTCAAGCTAATACAGAAACAAATACATAAAATCAAAACCAGTCATGCAAATGAGTTAACGATACACTTTTCGTGAAGCTTCACAATATATAAGTATTTAAACTCATATGACTTCGAACTTTAGTCGAGGATTGTCATACACCAAGTAAAGTAATAATTTTTGAAATCTGGCCACAGAGCACAAAATCGTAGCAGTTTTAACAATGGAGAATATTATTATTGGGAATAAAACGATAACGGTGGAGGAAATTGGGGAAATAGCGGGCAAAGTGAAGACACCCGCTTTAAGCTCTGATCCCATTTTTGTGGAGCGGATTAAGAAGGGTCCCCTCCTCGTGGAAAAACTGCTGAAAGAACGACACGTCATTTATGGGGTAAATACGGGCGTGGGGGAAAATTGTGGGGCATTCGTGACCCCCGAACTGACCGCGGTCTTGCCCAGCCATGTGATTCGTTTTCATGGGTGTGCACTAGGCAGATTTTTTACAGAAGAGGAGACACGTGCCATTATGACGGCAAGGTACAATTGAAAAGGCTAATCGGTATCGTATTTAATTATTTTCTTTACCTCTTAGCGACCAAGTAAGTGTAGTATTTTATTTACATTTCACGACGAAATATGCAAATGTGTACCGTATAAATTACACTGGAAGTAAAATTTCCAAAAATAGTATCTCTTTTGTATTTTTTGGAAAATTGGATAGTAAAAAGTAGATTTTTTCGATATTTTTCTTCCCAAATTTTGGAATTTTGCCAATACCGACCAATATTAAAAAGTGGGTTTTTCGTTGAGAAACTCAAAAATTGTAAACTGGTTGAAAACTTGAATTTTTTGCTATCAGATGTAAGTATGAAATCAATGTTGAACCGAAGGGAAATTTTATTTAAAACATACGAAAGAGGTTAATCTCGTTTCATAAATTATGTAAATGACTAGGTTAATATCTTTGGCGCGAGGGAATTCTGGAGTTCGACTTGAACTGCTGGCGCAATTGACGGCCTTATTGAGACACGACGTTCTTCCCAGAATTCCTCAAGAAGGATCGGTGGGGGCAAGTGGAGACCTTTCGCATTTATCCTACATTGGCGCGGTTATCAGTGGTCATCGTGACGTCCTGTACCACGGTCAAGTTATGCCGGCGGACGCAGCTTTGGCTAAGGTACATAAGTTGGAAGCTTTATTTTTTGAAAAACTTAATAAATATAAAACTTAAAATTTAATTTTCGAAAACTAGAGTTTTTAGCTTTTTTAAAGATTCCGAAATATATAGCATGCAAATTTCAAATTTACTTACATATATTTTATCACATCATGAAGCAATTCTGACCAAAAATAGTTGTTAATTTTTGAAATCGGTTTTAAGCTTGAAAAGTTTCACCGTCTTGAATAGCCAGATTTTGGATGAAAATTTAGCTAACAAGTAACAAAAACACTCGAATTCCAGAAAACGCAAAAATTTCGGTCTGCTTATTTCTGCCAAAGCAATTAAAAATTAGTACGGTCAAAATCGGAGATAAGCACCTCACACTTCTCCATTGTTGGTTTGATAATCGCTACAAAATTATACATATTTTCAGGTTGGTCTCAAACCACTCGTTTTAGAAAATAAGGAGGCTTTAGGAATTCTTAATGGGACTTCGGCCATGACCGGGGTCGCGTGTCTGGCATGGATTCGTGCCAATAGAATCTCTCAATTAACTACAAAAATTACGTCATTGGCAATCGTTGTTCTGAAAGGTAATCAATTTTACGTCAATTCGTTGAAAGCTTAAGAATTTTACGATTCAAATCCAATGGAAATGGGCTTAGAATCAAAACCAATAGAAAGTAAATGTATTTAAATCACGAATTTTACTGAAATTTACGCATTTTTATATTTTCGGAGTTATTAAAACCACTCGGTATATTAATTCGCTGTTCCTCACAGGAAACAGATTCCACTATGACGAAGCCCTCTTTTCCGTGAAACCCCATCCCGGCCAGCTCCGTGTAGCTCAGAGAATTCGAAGCGATCTAAACATCGTATCAGCTCCACAGGATTACAGCAAATCCGGAAAAATCCAGGATCGTTATTCTTTAAGATGTGCCCCCCAGATTATCGGCGTTCTCGAAGACTTTCTCCCCTTCGCTAAAACCATTATCGAAACCGAGCTCAACAGCACGAACGATAACCCAATAATCGATGTTGACTCCGACCGAATCTTTCACGGGGGACATTTTTACGGGGGGCACATCGCCATGACGATGGACACTTTGAAGTGTCAAGTCGCCAACATGGCGGATCTCCTCGACCGCCAGATGGCCTCTCTGGTCGACACGAATTACAACAATGGGCTTCCCTCCGACCTTTCGGGGGCAAAGGGAGATCGGAAAGCTATTAATCATGGATTAAAAGGGTTACAGATCACGTGCTCTGGTTGGACCGCGGAAGCGCTGAAAAATACGATGCCCGCTTCGGTTTTTTCGAGATCGACGGAATGTCATAATCAAGACAAGGTCAGCATGGGGACGATTGCGGCGAGGGATTGTATCCGAGTGCTGGATTTGGTCGAACAAGTCGTGGCCGCGCTGATTGTCGCGCTGCGCCAAGCGATCGAATTTAGAGAGATGGAAGGAGAGGAGTTTGACATTTCGAAAAATGCGACAGATTTTGTGAATTTGGTTAAGGCCAAGGTTAACTTTTTTGAGGATGATGTTTTTTTGGAACCAGTGCTGAGAAAGGTGCTGGATATGATTGGAAACATGGACCATCTTTATTGAGAATTTTCTGAAGATAAAAACAAACGTTTATGTAACATGGAGAGGTAAAATAGTTGATTCCCTTATGTCTTGGCTCCGTCAGGGGAAATGAACTAATTATGAAGGTTATGAAACATGAATTTGGAATATATTTTTAAAGTAATTACATCAAGTTTGTGTCAGTAATTACTTGACAATTATCTGATTAGTAGTGCCATGTTAGGCATATACATATGTATGTATGTACGCCTATACAGACATAATTATTTACATATTAATGAATACATCCTTGTACATCATTCCGCCTTTAACTACTCTAATAAACTGTCCTATCTCTTCTGTTTCAAATACATCTCTTCAACTACTTAATTACCATTCATGTATGATAACCAGATATGTACGTAACAACTAATAAATGCAATAATACTAGTTGAAAAATTACGATGCAACGTGTGCTTGGTGTATGAGTTCGTGACATATTTTACATTGATGCCAAACCATCTCTTAAATCGTTACTCAAAAATATAGCAACATAGTATTTGGGAGACCTCCATTGTAAGTTTGATATTTATATTTCTTTGTCAATAATTTGAAGGAAACGATCACAACGTAATGAGCAATGACTCTTATAGGAAAGATGGAAAATAATAATAAGTATTTAGCACCTTCAAATGAAAGCAAATTCACACGCAGATAATAAATTGGAACCGTTTGACAATTCGTGTCGGTGGAATATTCTCAAAATTACCAATTGCATGTGCAGTGGTTTTGAAAAATTTATGTTTTGACTCGAATGTCATATATGACATTTTGGAATGTATTCCAAAATTCCAACCTGCTCAATTACCTTTCCATAATGAAGGATTTGGTGATGTTTGGGTGAAGTGACTTGGAAAATAGCTTTTGTCCTTGAAACAATACTCAGAAATAATTGATTTCCAGAAAATTATTCCACCTTTAGTTATATCAGCGACGGCTATTTTATCAGATTTATAAGCGAGATACGTCCGTAAATCAGTACAGATTTTCGTACGAGTGTAATAAACTGGGTTCCTTTTTGTGTGCACGAAATAATTTTTATGCTTGCATGGTGCATAAAAATGTACCAACTTGAATAAAAATGCATACTATTTAATAAATCACGTGCCATTGATGCAGGGAATTTCATATTTTCAAGAAATTTTACTCTGTCAAATACCGGGCTTATCACAGTTGCCATCGATTACGCAGGTAAAACTTACCCTATAAACTTGGTACGCACATCACAAATTGGCACAATGATTTCTCAATTAGTCGAATATTTAGAAAAAACTGGAAAATTACAATATTATGTATTTTCACATAATGGATTGTCGTGCAATTTGATGCACTTTTCCGGATTTTTGATAAGTGTTAATGTTATTAAAGGTTTAAAAACATAATTTCGTGCAGGTATTGTTTAACAGCAGAAACACTGGTAATAAACAATCAGTTGGCTCGAATTGTATCAATGATGCAGAACGGTTACGTAACTTGCGTTATGCAATCAACTTTTACATATTATCTATTCCTCGATGGAAAGTTTAATTACTCGCAACATGGCAAACTACATTTTTCATTTAATTACGCAACCGTTGCGACAAGCGGTATATGCATGTCTGATGCAATAAACCGTTATGTAGCAAACGATATGCAGCAAAGGGGTGAAGCTACATGGGTACACGATTAAGGTTCGTCAAAATTATGTAGATTTTTGGAAATCCCCCCCCCCCAAATACGTATAAAATGGTCAAAACAAAAAATTCGATACATTTGACCGTTTATCTAATCACCGTTGCGCCGTGACCGTATGACCTACAAGGGTCAGTTCAAACTCATTCGTACTTTAAAAATTAGAAACATATTGGCGAAAATCTCTTGTCGATATCACAGGGTTGTCCGTCCTGATTGTGTATCAAACCGTGGCCTCCATCCTGAATGCGAAATCAATGCAGATCATTGGTACCTGCCGGGAATACTTCTGTAAGAGCAGGATTAAACGGAGAGAGATCGCGTCCCTGAGACCGTTAAGGATCAAATTTGGGGCCAATTATATCGATAAAGGGACACCGCTAGTAACACAAGACTTCTGCGTTAACCAGACTGTGTCCATGTTGTTAATGGCGAAAGGGTGAACGGACAGAGGTGTTTAAGGTGGTATTGTATGCGGGGTTTGATTTTGAATTGTCCTGTCTCAACTTTCCCTTCTACCATGCATATATTGAAATTGCGATTCTGAAACTCACGTATTCATCTCGGTGTTTTTAATATTAAGATTTTAATGCACCTAAAAATCAAAAATTTGTCATTAAGATGGGCTTATAAGCTAGTATTTATTTTTATTTTAGCTACAATTTTGATTTTAGGTGGTTTAATTTTTTTAATTGATCATTATCAAAGTTGCGCATGGTGCAAATAAATGTGTTTTATGCAAATTATGTAAATATGTATGCGATCCAAGTTATTCTTCCACTCAAACTAAAGGGAAGACACTACTCACTACTCTTCTATTCACTACTCTTCTTTTAATATGAATGAAGATGAACAGGTTTGTCGCTAGCCAGGTCGTAAGATGCAAATTGACGAATACAATTTTATTATTACAGATTTATTTATGATTGCTTTAAAATGTTTTCCAATATTAATTTCGATAAGGATTTAAACCCATTCAAAATCGAATCCAGTCCCGCCAACGCCACTATCACTCTGAAAAGTAACCAAGCCCAGTCCAGACTCTAGTGTAAACGATGGCGGCAATGAGTATCCACACCGTCTGGAAAAGAAAACACAAGATTGTCAGATTTTTTTATAAATTTCACATGTAAATTATATATTCATGGTAAGATTGGCGAAAAAAGGTTTTCGTCAATGTGATGCATTACATTATTGCCACATTTGTGAAAATTGACACCTCGAAAACCTTTCATTTGGCGATACATTAATTTTACGTTTAGTCACTTAAAATTATAATTATAATAGCATAACTTAGGAACTTCTGTAAACTACATACGTCATCAAAAAGTAAATAGGTGACATTATATTGCGGTGCATCGAAGTAAACGGGACAGAATTTCTACGCGCCAAAATCACGTGCCCATTTGATTAACATTGGAGGCGGGCTGAAATTCAAATCAAATCTGTCCCGGTTACTTCGAGAATTCACAATACCACATTCTATGAGTATAAATAAATACAGACAGAAAAATTAGTTGCACACTGTACATAAAATGCATGAAATTGGATTTTGGCCAAGCGGGTTTTTCGCCAAATCCTTTTTTTCCAAACTCTCAGACTTTGTTGTCACTTTGCCCCACTTTTTCAGTTGACAGAATCCGTAGCGGGATTTAGTTTCACTCAAAAAAGTTTTTAGCATTGAAGTGAGTTCGGGGATCTATGTGAACTATGTACATATCTGTGCGTCTACCAAATTAAAGCCTCACCTGTCTAGGTGTCTGTACTGATTATCAAACCAATCGTATATCGTGACGGCGTCATATCGACACGAGGGATCAGTATCAGTCTCCACGTCCATCCGCGTCAACCTTAAGGTCCGCACGGCCGACATGGTGGGATTAATGACGAAAAGGGCGTCCTCATTAGGTCTGGTAATCCCGCCATCTATGGGGTAAGATAACCTTCCTGTGTTCGTGGTGAAGCGGGCAAACTCGGAAAAGTCCCGGGTCTGGTCGGAAAATCCGGAGGAGAAGAATTCCAGTCGGAATCCGCTACTTGGGGCGCTCCCAATGCTCAAAGTGACCAAGACGAAGCCGGAAGCGACGGTGTAGTTTTGGCCGACCGAAGTCCTACATTGCCCCAATAAGGGTTAAATTAACTGCTTTCGTACTACTGATTTCTCAGTAAATAAATTTTCCCTTGGGTACGATGTTAATTTCATAATTACAACGGATACCTACCAATTAGACTTTTCGACCAGTTTGCAATTTTTGACGAAAAACAAACATTCCACTTTTTAACATTGGCCGGTATAGGGAAAATTCCACTTTTTAACGTTGGTCGGTATAGGGAAAATTCCACTTTTTAACGTTGGTCAAGTATAGGGAAAATTCCAAAATTTGGGCAGAAAAATATAGACAAAAACACACTTTTCACCATCGGGTTTGTCACAAACTACCGAAGAAATATTATTTTTTGGGAAACTTTAATGGTAATTTAGGTAGTACACAAGTATGTATGTGTGTGTACTTCGTTGTTAAGAGGGTAATATATTTTTTTTTGTGACCAACGTACATTCGTTTTTGAGTGCCAGGTTCTGAATGGGCAAAGTTGGTCAAATAAAGACCATCGTTTTCGCCAAGACCGGAGCTGGAAAGTCGGAATCGGACCGAATCGTAGCGGGTTTTCACGACCCAGACGCACTTCTGACCGGCCGGAATGGACGCACCGAGTTGGAAGGTGATTTCGGCAGAGGACGCGTCAATCCGGGCACCGCAAGTAGTAACTAAATAGGAAGAATATTGAATTGATTATGATGAAAGTGAATGAATGAATACACATAAACGGGAATTGTGTGTGAATTATGTAAATATGTGAACTATGTGGGAATTATGTGTAAGTTATGTTAATGTGTAAATTATGTATGAGCTATGTAAATCTGTGAATTAGGTATGTGCGACTAATCACTTGTTTTCTGAGTTAAATAATGTGAATTCTCAATTATGCTCTGAATTATTTGTGAATTTTCAAGTATGTAAATGAATGAATTATGTATGAATTGTATGCTCGATTTCTATGCAATCTTAACAATTCATAAAAGGACAACTTACTAAACTGGGCGGGGTTTGAATCTTCTTCAAATTTGATCGTGGAGCTCCGGATCCACTCGCTAAAAAACGATGTTTCTGTATACACACGGAATAAATTTGGTCTCGCACAGCCTTCGCCCCATGACACAATTCCGCACAAAGTTTGGTTGTCCCCGCAAAGAAGTGGACTACCAGAATCTATGAAAAAAGAATAATTTGCTAAACCCATCAAATTCGCATTTAATTTAAGTTCCAAATAAAGCAGGAAGGAAGGACCTTATTTTGGGGGGTTTTAGGCCTACGCGTTTTTATTCTTCAATTTTGAACTTTCTTATAAAAGAAGTAATAAATAGATAAATTTGAGTTGAAAAATACCCCCAGTTCATTTTGTAGGCCCAAAACGGAAAACTTTGACGTCTTAATTTTTAACACATTCATTTGCAAGGTATTATCTTCGAATTGGTTGTAAACTTCTGAATACTTATACTTTGTTAAATCATCGTACCCACGCAAGGTTCCTAAAAAGTCAAAAACTACGTCCTCTTATATGTACATATGTAGGACACTAATACATACAAGTAAACTTGGATTTTTATTTGAAAGTTATCAACAGCTTTTGCTCCGAAATGTTCGGGTTGGAGTCTGCAAAAATTGTTGTGGACAGTTTTTTAACACGCCCTTATTCATTGAAGTTCAAATTAAACAAAATAAAAATACGTAGGCCCAAATGAGCCCAAATTCTACCTTGCCCTTTACCAAAATAAATATACCTCCATGGCATGAATCTTTGCCAGCCTCCCCGTAACAAACCATGGACGGGGCAATTTCCCCGTAATGATTGCGTTGACACGTCACATCGTCCACAAATGGGACGACAACCTTCATCAGGTTATCGTTGGGTGGAGATCCACCCCCTTCGGAGATAGAACCCCAGCCAGTGACGGTTGCCAGGGCTAAAATATGTGCAAAAATCGTTGCATATTTTGCAAAATTATTGCCAAAATCTGTAAATAAATGTATGTATTACTGGTTGGAGCAAAGTTGACGTTCGGAATGACGACGGGCTGGACATACTCGTTAAATTCGAATGGAGGTGAGACCCTCATCAAGGCAATGTCGTTTTCGTATTGGTAGCTCCTAAAAAATTGGGCTCACTTGAAAACTTATTTTTACAATGTTAATACATAATCATTATTTTGCTACGATCGTCGTACTAATTCTAAAAAGAGCTATGTGCAGTCAATCCGTAATTTTAAAAAGGCCTAAGTGCAGTCACCTTATCATTTTAAAACTGCCTAACAATGCAAGTCTTTCACGTGTACAACTCAGACCTGGTTGGGACTAATTTTATTTTGTTCACCACAAGAAATAAGCATATCCTTATTTTTTGTGGTAAAAACCTTTGGAAAAAAATTTTTGGTTAAAATTTCGGCAAAATATGCTGGCCTAAATTTTTATTTAGTTATAGGAAGAGGTACAGAACGGTTTTAATAATCAATATTTACGAATTTGACCTTCATAAGGCTAAGCTTGATATAACGTTTGAAATTTTGAAGCCACATAATTAGCTATTTGCAATTTTTAGATTGCACTTGTGCCTTTTCCTGTGCACTTGCTCCTTTTTAAAATGAAGATTTGGCTTTACTTAAGCCTTTTTAAAATTAAAAGGTGACTGCACTTACAATGCAAGTCTTTTACGTGTACAATTCAGATGTGGTTGGGACCAATTTTATTTTGTTCACCACAAAAAATAAGCATACCCTTATTGTTTCATTTTTCATAATGCGCTAATTTGAGCGCGAGCCGCGAATTTTACAACATTTTTCAGCCAAAACCGCGGTTTTTAAAAATTCTGTAAATTTTCGAATTTTGGCACGAATCCAAAAATTCGAAAACATGTCTCTTCAGAATGACTTACTTGACTTATGAAAAATCCAACTGTCTCGAAATTTGATTATCAAAATTGTTTTCCAGTTTTTGAAATTTATTAGAATTATAAATTCTTTCAATTTTTTAATTTGTCAAAAAATAATGTGGGTTTTTTATAAGTCAAGCAAGCCATTCTGAAGAGACATGTTTTCGAATTTTTGGATTCGCGCTAAAATTCGAAAATTTACAGCATTTTTAAAAAAGCGAGGTTTTGGCTGAAAAATGTTTTAAAATTCGCGCCTCGCGCTCAAATTAGCGCATTATGAAAAATGAAACAATAAGGGTATGCTTATTTTTTGTGGTGAACAAAATAAAATTGGTCCCAACCAGATCTGAATTGTACACGTAAAAGACTTGCATTGTAAGTAGGGTTGCCGCGGGTAGCGAAAATTCTACCCGTTACCCGACCTGCTACCCGCCGCCCAACTACCCGTACCCGCACGGGTACCCGTGCGGGTACCCGTTGCCCGTTACCCGTTATGAGGATTAAATTAAAAACTAAACAGTCTCATTAATCAATCGGATTTAATCAATTATTTGCTTGTTTGGGTTGTGGAGTAGTTTGAGATAATGCTGTACGAGTAACGAATGTCATAATTTGCTGGATCTCATTAGATATTTCTGAAACCAAACTTTTTGGCCTACAATGTAACCTTTTTCAAGCCTGCACCGGGATTTCTTGATTTCTTAGCGAATTATATCAACCAATCGGGCCAAAAATGAGGAATTATCACTTCTTGAATTACACCGTTTTAAAGAAAACTATTGGGGGAAGAGTTCGAAGTCTACCATGTTGTCGACCAGTGTAGGAAAAAGATGCAGAACATTTACTTAAAAATTGAACTCTGCAGCCAGCATTGTTGTTCAAAGTTGACATTCAACGGATATGTAGTATCACGTGATTCCTAATTTTTGGCTTGACTTTTTGATATACTCGTTAGACAATTTTGGTGTGTCTTAAAAAAGGTTCACTTTTAGTTTCATTTTTTGAAATTTTGATTTAAATAAAGTTTTCATGATTTTTTAAATGCATTAAAAAATCGTCTACAAATAAAATTTTTGCTTTCAATCGAATACAGGTTTTTTATACTTTCAAAGCACAAATTAAAATCTCACCAGTCTTACATAAATACACCCAAATACAAGTCAAATTATTACCGATGTTTTAGAGCAGGCAAATTATGCTTGAGAAACAATAATTTCTCCGCATTTTCGGGATGTGAAAAGGCCACCGTAGGCTTTCGTGGGTTCCGAAAAGACACGCTTGCCATAAGCGTTAGTTGCTTGGAAATGTAAAATGACAGATTTTGAAATGGAAAAATAATAAATTGACGCTTTTGTTGGTAAATAGACTAATTTGCTGCTGACTTTTTTTATGAACTGATTTATGTGGAAAATTAAATAAAGATTGAAATACCCGTTACCCGTGCGGGTAGTTCTCGCTACCCGCAGATAACGGGTACCCGCAAGAATCGTGCGGGTATGCGGGTAACGGGTACCCGACCCGTTACCCGCGGCAACCCTAATTGTAAGTGCAGTCACCTTTTAATTTTAAAAAGGCTTAAGTAAAGCCAAATCGTCATTTTAAAAAGGAGCAAGTGCACAGGAAAAGGCACAAGTGCAATCTAAAAATTGCAAATAGCTAATTATGTGGCTTCAAAATTTCAAACGTTATATCAAGCTTAGCCTTATGAAGGTCAAATTCGGAAATATTGATTATTAAAACCGTTCTGTACCTCTTCCTATAACTAAATAAAAATTTAGGCCAGCATATTTTGCCGAAATTTTAACCAACAATTTTTTTCCAAAGGTTTTTACCGCAAAATTATTTTGTCAAAATACATAACTCACAAATAATTGGGATGAATATTAATCTGCGTGACTTGTCGGACTTGTTCCGTCCCTTCGGTCACGTTGATATTGTGCTCTCCTGCCGAGAGGGTGTACCCACTGGGGGCACTATGAGCACAATGCGCCGCTGTGACGACCCATTCCGGCGTGACGATGGAACCCCCACAGAGATGAATATTTTGTAGCCGAATATCGACTAAAAACTTGAACTCGTGCCGATCAGCTTCCACTCCGCCTACAATTTTACCGGTGTTTAAGCCCCGAAAATCGGATGGGGGTGGGGCGCCTGTAAATAATTGAATTAAAAAAAATTATTACACGTCTATATTTACAAATTAATTAAGGCTGCATTGTGTGCGGGATTTGAGTTTGAATTGTTAAGTCTCAACTTTCCCTACTTCAATAAATTCAAATATCGATTTTGAGACATATGTAGTCATCTCCGTGGGCTTATCAGATTTTAATGCACCTAAAAATCGATAATTTTTAGGTTTACAAAGTTACGACTGTAGAATTTTTATTTTTTTCTTCAATGAGAAAATAAATATAAAATAGATGAAAAACAATGAGCAAAAACTAAAAATTTTCTCATTAAGGAAACAAAATTCTATCCTCCTAACTTTGTTAACCTAAAAATTATCGAATTTTAAGTGCATTAAAATCGTCATATTATAAAAATCTCACGGAGAAGAATAGGTTTCAAAATTCCTAATTGAATTTATGGAAGAAGGAAAAGTTGAGACACAATAATTTAAACTCAAAACTAGTGTACAAGGTTAGGTTAAGATATTTTGTTACCATATGTGACGACGACCAAGGTATAAATAAAACTTATTAAAGGTGTTGATGACTTCATCTTTGTGGATTGGATTGGATATTTGGGGAATATGGTCCCGTCATCCAGATGAGTTTTGTATTTATATGCCCAGTCTTATGTACGATGATGCAAATAATTAATTAATTAGATTAGATTAGTTTTGCATAATGTATTTAAGTACATACTATTGGCTGTCCAACACTACACTCTAAATAATCCGGCGAGAAATTATCATTACTATTAGACAAGGTTAAAGGGGCAATCTGTTGCATCAGGATTTCGATACCAACAATTGTCTACGTCAATTAAAAAAATGAAATGCGAGATCAAAAAATTTGCGCAATGAAACAATCCTCCAATGGTAATAATCTGGGTAGATTAGCTTATGCTCTGTATTTTATAATTGGAACAAATTCTTCAGAGGAATTGTATTCAAAATTGTGTCAAACTTTAATGCACAAACCATAGTCTCATGAAGTTATGCAGATCCCATTCAGGTCTTTTTCCAATGAAAATTTCTCAATTTCTTTTTCCCGTGAGTGAAAATGTGGCTACCGTAGTGGTAGTAAATTTAGTATCGAATAACATAACCTGTTTCACATTACACTTCGTAAGGCATTTATTAAGTCGCTTCTGCCACTTTATGCAAAGACTTTGTCTGTCTGTCTGTCCGTCTGTCAGCAGTATAACGTGAGAATGGATCAAGATAATCGAAATAGGTTTGCGGCATCATACATATGACCGCAGGGGGAGGATCCTATCAACTTTTGGGGTCAATCGGGCAACCTTGCCGGCAGGGGGCGTGTTCGGGACAAAATGAGATTTTTACTACAATTGGGGTAAAGTGAGACTGATGCTACATACTTCCTTGTGTTTATTACAAGGTGGTTCGGTAGTAAATATATGGTAGTAAATATATTCGGTAGTAATATACATATGTACTACCATTTGGGTAGAGAGTGATTGTATTTACATATTCCTTAGAGTGTATTTTGCATTGATTTGATGAAAATGTCGTGAGATAATTATTGATTGATTATTCCCAGGGATAACAGCAAATTAATTAATGAGTTGGAGTGGTCTTTCCATTTTCGCAATGTGTACTTTCCCAAATAGCAACAGGTGTACAGAGAGTGGAGTAAACATGTTGCACAGTCATGGGAAAATTGAAGTGGCACTTGGCACGTGTATCAGTTAATGATTCAAACTGACCGTTGTTATTTACATATTAATTGAACAGTTGATAAGCTTCTCGTAGAACGTACAGTGGCCAGTGTTTATTACGGAGTGATTAATGAATCATCAGTAATTCGCAGTGGTAAAATACACTAAAATTATTTCAGATTCTATTAGATATTACATTTTTATTAATTAACAAATCCATATTATAAACTTACACTCAGGTGAGACGAATTTATTCAAGAGTGAAATAAATTCACTTACAATGTAAACTTTATTCAACCGGGATTGTCTAGCGCCTTATATCAAAAAATCACACCAAAAATTAGAATCTACTTGCATACATTTTTGTTGAAATTGGGACAAGGGAATACGTTAATTTTTATGGCGATTATAAATACGCGTTTATTTCATTATACCTTTTGGAAAATTAAATATATATTAGCACAAAAACAATTTTACGGCCGAGGTCCTTATTAATAATAAATTATTATAATATTGAGACTTTTCCATAATGCTCAATCGCATGATCAATCACTCCGCGGTGTGAAGTAGAGATTTTTTTCTGATTTATGAGATATGTTTATATTTGATTGCAAGCATAACTTAAATGCACATGTCAGACATGTTTCGCACGGATCTTCTTCAAACCACCACCAAAATATCAAGGAACTAAACACAAACAACAATTGGTGTGACACTTGAGCACTTCTGCAGAATTAGCGAAGTTATGAAGGTTTTAAGTTGGCAAAAACGCATATTTTCACCATGCGAAACTATACGGAGTTCGCCTCTCCACTTTCCGATTTTCTCTTGCGCTTCTCTTCTCCAGGTCATCGGTTTTCACATTTCATTCAACATTGAATTTATTAATTTCCCAACCAAGTTCTCGTCCGATTCTTCATCTCGAGCTTCTAAATGATTTTCTAACACTTTTAAATATGCAGATTACATACCATACCGCTATACACAAGTCCCAGAACCAATGCAGAGTAGGACACACTAGTACAATAATACCCGAGCAACACAACAAACCTCTAAAATTGCTTTGTAAATGTGTAATTTTTCATATAAAACAGCAATATTAAATGGCGACATAAACTTACCTACCTACCTTGATTGAACTATGGTTGCATTCCTATCTAGATTTTAAATGTACGTAGGTATTTAACTGATGTAGATTAAACCACATTAATATTCGTAATCACGTTTGTCAATACATATTCCGTGATTAGCACGACTTAAAGATAATTACGCTCATCAATGTTACACACAAGGATTCGGAACCAGGACTATTATCTTTTTTAATTTGTTTTATAATCAAAAATCCATGAGCTACTTACAATTAAATGATGACAGAAAGTAGTATTTATACTACCATTGCTTACTTTTGCCACCGTAACGTACCAACCCATAATGTTATTAACGTTGGTGATCATGCAAGTGTGTCATAATTATCGAACCGGTTTTCGGTGGTCACTTATGCTCATCCCGTGACCACTCTTCCGTGACCCCCTTTGATTGTGGGTTGTGATATGCTTGGGGGTATAAGTGTACGGGGGTGTAGTGCTGGCGCTATGCGCGTGCGCTTGACTAGGCAACGTATGCATTACACTACTACAAAATACCAAAAGTTCTATTGAAATACAATAATTTTATTAATAAGAAGTGTGTCCACCACAACGTTTATCTGGCAATTTCCTGTTGCAAATCTTCCGCCGTCGAAAAGCCAAGTCATTGCAAATTTTACCTGGAATTATTGGCATTACATCATATATTTAATTCTTGCAGTCCAGGTTCATTAATAATAATTCTTCTCAGAAGCTGCTTGGTTCGGCATAAATTACGCCCAAGTTTTGCAGTCATGCTCTCCTACGGATCAAAAGAATCACTATATTATAATACTCCGCTTACTGCGAATACATCTCACTTTTCGAATTGAAGATGTGTCGTTTTTTAAGAATTAAAGAATTTTATGATCAAATATAGGCGGAGTGGTGTTCGTCATCTCTGTCGACGCACAGGGAGGTATATTGATATTCACCATTGGAATATTGGTATTTCCTGATAAAGGAATTGTTGCAAGGAGTGGTGAGGCTGCTGCTGCTGTTGTCATCTCTGCAGTCGGGGGAGTGGTACCCATTAATATAAACTCTTTAGTTATTGGAACGGTGGGTGGATTTTCTACCGCTGTCTCTGTGGTCGCAGGGAGTTGGGAGGCTGCTGCTGCTGTCGTAGTCATTGCAGTCGGCGGCATGGTGCTCACAAATATAACCTCTGTACTTATTGGAATGGTGGGTACATTTTCTACTGCTATCTCTGTGGTCACACAAAAGTGGGGTGGTGGGTTGGAGAATTTTAACAAGTGCCGGGGAGTAGCTTCCAACAACGGCATCACGCTTTTCAAGCTCGAGACGACTTTTTTCTGAATTAAGTGGTAATGTGATTCTTTTTGCCAACAAGTCTGTAAAAATGTAGTCGAATTTGATGAGCAACCAGACTACTCTTGTATCTTTAATAATTTTCACATGTATTGCTTATCATGATCTAACCATACCTCTCAAGTATTGTTTGCACCTTCTTTCACTTCTATAAGCAAGGTTCACGTGGGTGCCCATCGATTCAGCCTTAGGTATGCAGGTCGGTCCGACACGGTCAAGTAGAGCAAAAACACATGCTGCATCCGGTTGTTGAATGCAGACGATGCAATCAGTGACCAACTTACATGCACGTATAACTTCGCAAAATATGAAGAGTATCATAAACCTGTTAATTAACATTTTAATGTAAAAAATGCGAAGCTTTGTCTAAAAATATCAGTGTGATAAGAAAATGTGAATACGTTCTTCTGGTTGCTCATCTGCAAAGACTGATGGGGATGGGCCTTTTGTTGACTTTACAAAGCATTCTAATTACACTCAGCAAGAATGATGCTTGGTTGTAAATGAAGCACATTGAAGAAGCAAATTATCGAATGCGACTGGAATTTGATAAATTCGTATGACCAAAATAAATGTTTTCAACCAAAAACTACAAATTTCCAAATTGTCAGAATTTAAACACAATAAATTTGAGACATTTATAAAATTGAATAAATACATTGGTACTTAGTTGCACAAATAATTGCTGAACTATTTATTTTTATACTTTTTAGCTTTGGCTTTAAAGTTCACAAGCATACGAGTTAAAGAGGTGATGTTTATCAATTTGTCTCAAAAGCAGTATCAGGCTTGTCATAAAAAGACAGCCCGGCTAACTTAAATGTTCATTAAATGATAATATTTTAGTTTGCAAAAGAGAGAAGTTTAATTTGAAAGAGTGAAGTTAAACTAAATTAATTCGTATGGTTTTTCAAGCTACTACAGACATACTTATTATAATTTCTGATTCAAATCTAGTTTTAAAGTGTTTTAAAACCGTTAGTAAATAAATAACTTTAATAAAACGCAAATTGTAAACTGTAAGAGTTATAAAATCTTTATTTCACATTTTGTCAACACCAAAAGTTTAATGATTACAACAAAATCCGAATTATATAGTTGACATTTAGCCAAGCTGGAATCATGGAGAAACTCCTTGCACGACCCCCCTGCCTACTTGAGCATCACGGAGAAATTTCTGGAAGGGACCAACAAACATACGCATTTCCCCAATGAGTAGGCGCACCTACAAGTAAACAAACAAATTTAATTATAAATAAATTAGGCACACTTTGGTATTTAATTATATTCCCTAGGTCCCTTCCAACCCCCAAATTTTGCAGATTGTTGCTCAGATACTGATGATCAGCTCAGCCAGCTCATGTAATTCTCCTTTTTTTGGCGTTAGCACTTCGACGGAGCTGTTGGAGATACAGAAACCAGTTTTCCCGACG